AAAAAAAAAAAAAAAAAGAATAAACACCAGTTAACATTAATAGACAAAGTGAACTGGGTATTGCCCATCCCACCCTCAAAGTACAGTTTATCGCATACTGGCACTATGCAAGAAACATAACCCTCGGAGGACTTTATCAATAGTCTGCCCCACCTGGTATCAAATGGTACTTATAAGTGTGAAAGGAACTGAAAAGTACCAGACTTGTGCATATAAGAAATCTACCGATAATGGCAGCTTGAGAATGAAACTGAGTAGGAATGCAGGAATTACTGAATATGAATTATATTCTTAGTTCTGCTATATAGCTACTATCAGAAGGAAAGCTCCTCAAAGAAGAGCTATCCTATTTATTTTCTTCTGCAGCTGCCAGCCTGACCCTGGAAAGGAGAAAGAGAAGAAACAAAGAAGAAAGGAGGGGGAACAGAAAAGTAGTAATAATTTTAAACTAATGTTGGTAGTCCATGAAATTTCAAGATTGGGTAAAGCAACAGAATTTAAATGTGGATTACAACTATTTGTGCATCACTGATACAATGAGCTATAATGCTACTGATTAACTGTTCATTTTATAAAAATCAAGTACAGTATCTTGCTTAGTAAAATAAATTATTAAGTTATATTTTAGGAACTTTACATTTGATTTTTAGAATACAGCACTGGTCACACAAAGTATTCTTCTTAATTATCATTTCATACTTAAGTAGAAATGAGGGAAATGTGTGAATTTTTAAAAAGCTATTAATTTCTAAATTAGCATGGTCACTGATTATTGTGGGGTTTCTTTTCTTCCAATGATGTGTGTACATACACAATGTTAAGGATTAGTTTTTGAAGTAATCTATTAGAGGCAATAATATCACCATCACGTCATAATAGTAGTAACAGCATAACAAATATCTCATTATCCCTATACTACCTCATGGTATAAATGTCTAAAACATACATAAAAACAATACAATTTGACAAAATACATTCTAAATTTAGCAATTAAAAAAAGCAATTATTCTGGAAAAACTTAAATGAAATGGTACAATGACAGACTTCTTTATAATTTTTATGCTAAAGTCTTCGACATTTTGAAATAGATACACAAGATCTTAAGAAAACCAATAAATCAAACCACCTTAAAATGTGTATGTTTAAAAAAACAAAAACAAAGACCCTATGCCAATTCTTTTAAGTAAAAATTATCAGATTTCAGTATATTAAAAATCTTAGTTACAGCAAATATTTCATGGTAACCAACTTTCTTAATGCTATTTTAAGCCTAGTCTTACCTCAGTCATTAGCCATTGTTTCTGCTTGAGTCCTATATCTAAATGTTGTGTTTCATCCAAAATTTCTTCTAAAGTGAGAGGATGTGTATCTCCTCGCTGATGCCGTGTCTATTGAGGGAAAACATTGTTATTAGGAGACAGTTTTAAAATGCTACATGTATTAAGTAATAGATACAAGTAAGGGAATCTTTCAGGAATGTAGAACATGTATCATTTGAGGCAACACGATTATAGTGATGAACAGAATGGACTATAAAAATCAAACAGAACTGAGTTCAAATTTGCAGCTCTAAAAAATCAAATGATAAACTGAGAAAAAATATTTTCAGCTCATTATCACAAAGAGCTAATCTTCCTAATATTTTAACAGCTCCAAAAACCTAATAGGAAAATGACCCAAAGTCAGGAGCATATAAATCACAGAAAAGGAAATGCAAAAAACCTTAAATATATGAAAAGATACTCAACTTACACCAAAATATTTCATAACCATTACACTGGCAAAAATCCATATTTTTTATGGTTTTTTTTTTTTTAATGTTTATTTATTTTTGAAAGAGAGACAGAGTGTGAGCAGGGAAGGAGCAGAAAGAGAGGGAGACAGAGAGTCTGAAGCAGGGTCCAGGCTCTGAGCTGTCAGCACAGAGCCTGATGTGAGGCTCGAACTCACAAACCACGACATCATGACCTGAGCCGAAGTCGGATGCTTAACCAACTGAGTCACCCAGGTGCCTCATCAAAAATCCGTATTTGATGACTCCATCAATGAGGGTGTAAAGAAACAGGCCTTCCCACACACTGCTGGTAAAAATGCACACTGACACAACTCCTAGGGAACACAATTTGGCAATATAAATGCATTTAAACGCTTTGACACAGCAATCCATTTCTAGGAATTTACCTTACAGCACAACTTAAAATAAGTGACACAGTCACTGCAGCTCTGGTTGCAAAAGGAAAATATTATAAACAATATGTGGCCAGCAATTGATTAAATCACCCAGACTGATTAAACTATAGAACATCTATGCTACTATACAGATGTTTAAAAAGAAAATGCAGATGTTCTCTATGTGCTAATTTGGAAAGCAGTCCAGAACAAATTATTGAATAAAAACATGCAGGGTCACCTGGGTGGCTCAGTCAATTAAGCGTCCAACTTCAGCTCAGGCCATTATCTCACAGTTCATGAGTTTGAGCCCCGTGTCAGTTTGTGCTGACAGCTCACAGCCTGGAACCTGCTTCAGATTCTGTGTCTCCCTCTCTGCCCCTCCTCTGCTCGCACGTGCTCAAAAAAATATATCAACATTAAAAAATAAAAAAAACTTTTTTAAAGTCCTCCAAACAAAACCCTCCTGTGAATTTAAAATCAGTTCATTACAGGGGCGCCTGAGAGTCTCAGTTAAGCATCTGACTCTTGATTGTGGCTCAAGTCATGATCTTCGCAGTTGTGACATCCAGCCCCATTATCAAGCTCTGTGCTAAGTGTAGAGCCTGCTTAAGATTCTCTCTCTCCCCCGCCTCAGCCCCTCTCCCCCGCTCACACACTCTCTCTCCCCCCACCCAAAAAATCAATTCATTGCAAAAATTAAAAACCCTGATGGGGCGCCTGGGTGGCGCAGTTGGTTAAGCGTCCGACTTCAGCCAGGTCACGATCTCGCGGTCCGTGAGTTCGAGCCCTGCGTCAGGCTCTGGGCTGATGGCTCGGAGCCTGGAGCCTGTTTCCGATTCTGTGTCTCCCTCTCTCTCTGCCCCTCCCCCGTTCATGCTCTGTCTCTCTCTGTCCCCAAAAAAATAAACGTTGAAAAAAAAAAAAAATTTTTTTTTTAAATAAAAAAAAAAACCCTGTTGATGTTTGCCATGAACTTACTGGCATAAGGACAGATGGAAATTTACTAACCAAACTCACAACTGGTGTGATGGATTAAAAAAATTAAAACCATAATTTTGTAATTATGTACTGTTGTCAGTACATTTTGCATCCCCTCTCCCAAATACTGCAACCTCTCCAAAGACTTCCATGCCCAAACCCTGAAACCTGTGACTATGTTACCTTATGTGGCCCAAGGGACTTCACTGGTGTGACTAAATTAAGGATCCTGAAATGGAGAGATTATTGTGAATTATTCAGGTGGGCCCAATATAATCACAAGTGTTTCTAAGGGGAAAAGGGAGACCTCAGAGTCAGTGATGGGACAGTGGAAGAGGTCGGAGTGATGCAAGAAAGGACAGGTATCATGAAATGCAGACAAAATGCAGACAGGCTCTAGAAGTCAAAAAAGAAAACAGGGGCACTTGGATGGCTCAGTGGGTTGAGCATCCGACTTCAGCTCAGGTCATGATCTCACAGTTCATGAGTCTGAGCCCAGAGCCTGGAGCCTGCTTCATATTCTGTGTGTCTCCCTCTCTCTCTGTCCCTGCCCTGCTCACACCCTCTCAAAAAATAAATACATGTTAAAAAAAAAATTTTTTTTTTAAAGAAAAAACAAGAAGTTCCCTCAGAGAGCCCCCTGAAAGAACCAGCCCTGCCTACACCCAGACTTCAGCCCAGTGAGATGGATTTTGGACTTCTGACTTCAAAAACCGTAAAATAATAAATTTGTGCTTTTTTAAGCCACTAAGTTTGTGGTAGTTTGTTACAGCAGCAATAGAAAACGAATACCTATACTTTCTCCCCTTTAAATCTATAAATCTTGAAGTATTTATAGCTATACATCAATTAAAACCAAGTATCCAGGGGCGCCTGGATGGCTCAGTTGGTTGAGCATCCTGCTCTTAATTTCAGCTCAGGTCATGATGTCACAGTTTGCAGGATTGACTCCAGCCATCAGGCTCTGTGCTGACAGCACAAAGGCTGCTTGGGAATCTCTCTCTCCCTCTTTCTCTGCCCCTCCCTGCTCACACAAGAAGATGCTCGCGCGTGTGAGAGAAGATGCTCTCTCTATATATATACACACACACACGTGTATATATATATATAAATAAACTTTAGGGGGGAAAGTAAAAAATAAACAAAATAGTTATTCTGTATCCTCCATTAACACTGATTAAATCTAACATATTTGCCTTAGTTTTCTTCACATTAAAAACTTTCCCCCCATTGAGTTAAATATAAAATTATCAAAGGCCAAGTTAATCTTAAAATCTAAGCAGAAAAGAATGAATACATCTCAAGAAAAATAAAAAAGCACTAGCCCTATCTTTATTATTATATTTAAATTTAAATATGGGATTTTTACAATCAGAACAAGCTGAAAAACGAAAGTAATATTCATTGTATGAAAGCCTAACCATTTTCACTGAACTATGTAAACAGAGAAGCCAAACACAGCTGTCAAATTATCAAGTGAAAACCTGTTATAACAAAATGAGGGGGAAAAAAAAAGAGCAAGAGAGATAAACCTGAGAAACTCAAAATTACTTCCTTATTTCTTGCTCTTCGATCAGGAGTTAAGAAAAATGAAAAAAAAAATGAAGGATGCATAGAGAGACTACGTAACACTCTAAAGCTAGTTTTCAGTGAAGAACAATTACACACCTTTGTTAAATTCCTTCCTGATCACTAGATGATTTTTGGTGTATTGCATTTTGTATTTTATTTCGCTATTTTTTTTCTTGCAACTTCGTAGAAATTGGCTTTTTTTTATAGTGGCCTTATTTTTATCAACCTTAATTCTAACAGCTTGCATAGTCTCTTGGCTTTCCTATGTATTTAATCATGTCATCTACAGTTCTACTTCTTCCTTTACAGTTTTTACATCTGTTACTTCTTTTTTCCTGCTTCACTGCACTAGGGGGGACTTCCAGTGTAATACCCAACAGATGTTGTGACAATCAGTACCTTTTATCTTTTTCTGACCTCAGGAGAAAACCATTCACTGTTTTACCCTAAGTATTTGGGTTTTCACAGATACCATCTCATCACAGGGTGCTTGACCAGTATTCCACAGAATCCTAGGGTTCCATAAAATGTCACTAGGGGGAGCATGAGAAACTGTGATTCTAAAAAATAAACATCAATTCTGCAACCACACATACCATGCAACCTGAGGGCTCACAGCAACAGGCAAACTACTGAGCAGCCATGCCAACGTTTTCATCAGGTCTTTTAGCACCACGTGGCAAGTAGGGCTATGTTCACTTGGACAAGCCCATTACCAGTTTCCAATGAAATAGAGAGAAGCCACTGATAATTGGTAAGCTCTATATTGCACAAACGGGAGCACAGTAGGCTGACAATGTCAGCAATTCCCTTCCAAATTACCTCCCCTAACCTCCCACTATACAGCGCCAACTCACTCATGGGAGTTCACAAGCTCTGGTGGCAAAAAGGAAATCTGAGGGAAATATTCATTCTGAACAAGGAATTTGTACATACCAGGACTCACCTGCCCCAGGCTGCTTTGCTGTTGTAAATGTTGTAAAACACAGATCACATAGTAAAAAGAAAGTAAAATACATTGTGAAGTGTTTATTTTTTGAAATATTCTCATTTAATAAATCCCTGTGGTTTGATAATTTGTTAGCATTTGTTTTATAAACATGTCTGACAGTCCAGTGCAATGATTTTTTAAGATGAGATTAAGTGAGGGGCGCCTGGGTGGCGCAGTCGGTTAAGCGTCCGACTTCAGCCAGGTCACGATCTCGCGGTCCGGGAGTTCGAGCCCCGCATCGGGCTCTGGGCTGATGGCTCAGAGCCTGGAGCCTGTTTCCGATTCTGTGTCTCCCTCTCTGCCCCTCCCCCGTTCATGCTCTGTCTCTCGCTGTCCCAAAAATAAATAAACGTTGAAAAAAAA